ACCCTCCATGTCAGCTTTTCCACCCATTGGATGTATATGCCTTATACTCCACCTAGGGAGGTAAATGCATTAATTTCCTCCTTTACCCTTCCACGTTATGGAACCAAACAAGTAGAGATACTTCGGTACAAGTAGTTGTGATTCTTCTGAATATATCTTAAATCTTTTTCTTCAATTTACGATGTTATGACTTGTGTAACAGGAGACATATCAATCGACGCTGTTTAAATGTGGAGAAAGATGCATGCACATCAAATGACAAAGCTGTGACTTTAGCAGGTCAAATGATAAGGTAGGGAGGGGCACATAACCTGTATTCCTCTACCTTTCTGTCATTGCTGTGCTTGATAATGGGAATAGCGGGGATGAATTTCTCCTTATCTTGCTTTCCTTTCTGTCCTTTGGAGGAAAAAGTCCTTTGTCTAACTACATCATGGTCCCTTTCTGTGATGGCGTGCCAGATAGGAAAATATTCTTCTTACACTTCTTTTTAAGCAGAATATGTTTTTTAGCCAGCAAAAGATCGTGAATCTGTATGAATTTACCACATGTCTGCTTTTAGACGATGTGTCGGTTATAATGCAGGTTTTGTAAAGAAGCATTAAGAATACTTTCTGATCATTTGACTAGAAGGCATAGGTGCTTGAATCATGTCAGCCATGAACATAGACATAGTGATACTCTAAGATTAAACTTTTGGGGCATGATACAAAGGAAATTAAAAATTCTATATTTATGTTTTTATCTGATTTATGAAAAAACATTTGAACTATTTAACACTACTTCAGGTACATACTCCGTCACTTTCATAGGTTGTAAAATAGCTCTAAGTGCGGTAAAGAGTGAATACATGTGTAAATCTACATAAGAGAATTATCCTCCTCTGCTCTCTTATTTAGGACTTGTTAGAATGGTAAATAAAAGATAGGGAACTTTGTGTTTCATGAATGTTGTGTACTATTGTTAGAATATCATGAGAATTATTTGTAAATGTAGGCTGCAATTGTCTAGATTCATTGTTATCAAAATAGAAGAATATGTTTAACGATAACTCATATGATATTCTAGAATACTCTTTGCTTGATTGTTCAGAAATATTACTTTGTAGATTAATACTCCTATATAAAGAGTGTTCCTTTTACAAGAAAAACTCCTTATACAGAGAATCCTTCTTGAAATAGCTGAACCTGCCTTTTACAATAAAGATATATAAAGAATCCTTGTAATGTCAACAACTAAGTCGATAGAGGTCCATCGAAAACTACATCTCTACCCTCACAAGGTAGGGGTAAGGCTAGTACACCAACTTCTCACTACTCCTCGTACAGTTTATATACCGAAGGTTTTCATTAAAAATAAAATTATATTCCTTATCAAGAAAAAAACTGTTATCGACAGTAACTTAATCTCTAGCGACTTCTATGATGTCCTTCACCACTGTTAACTGTTACAGCTGTTTAACATCATTTGAAAAAAATGAGCTAGTTGCTTGCCATAGTGGTGCTTCTAAATCTAAGTCTCAAAGTTTTAAATTTTTCGAGTCTGAAAGTGCTGCAAATTATATTTTGAAGTCTTACTAAGATATTGTGCTGAAGCATTAGAATCTGGAAAATAAAGAACCCAAGAAGTGATGTTATCATGTGCCTTCGTGTTCCAGACCATGCTTGATTGTCCTTTGCCTGTATCTGTGAAGGTTTATGACTCAATTTTTAGGATGATGATTCTTTTTCAGCAGATAAAGTTAAGTTTCTTCACCACTACTTACCTGTTGTTGAATTGCTTACGAAACAGGGACACCATGCAGCCCATTGAGTGTATACCATTTCATGAACTTATTTGCTTCAAGGATGTTGACAATCTCCAATCAGTTAAGTTCCCTGATTTTCATTTAAGACATGACCGATCACAGTAGTATGCTTCTATATTTATCATCTACACTTCAATCTAAAGACATGCGTGCTTACTTAAGGGTTTCTGGTAATTAAAATTTCCTTTGTGCTTCATTCACCTCAATCTTTTTTCCCAGCAAGCACATGGTTACCTAGTAAGTATACTATTACTATTTGAAGTGTGACAGTTCTTGTAACCTGGTAAAGTTTTTAATGCTAATTGCATTATACTATGTTTAATAGATATCTTAACTGTAGCTATCAACTTTGTAGTTAGTCAGACCAAGTTTCAGGAATACCTTTGTATTTTGATCTCATATGTGCAAGAAGTTAGATAGTTCAACTTATGGTACTATCGGTAATTCTAAAATGATGTGTTATTACTTGCTTTGCATTTTCCATAGTTTTCTTTTCTTTTTCTTATTTTCTTGTCGACGGTGAACCAGAAATCAAGGTTATTAAGATAGGGTAAGTATGATGTTTTTGTGAATTTATAAGTCAAGATCAAATTATTTTGGCCGTAATTCTTTGATAACAAGGGATAGCCTAGTGGAAATGAACCTCTACCTCCAATCACAATGCTGGGTTCGAGTCAACAAGAGAGCAAAATGGGAAAGAACCAGCCACCCAGATGAGACTCCTGCTGAAAAACTTTCTTTTTCCGGGGAAAGAACCAGTATTTGGCTCCTGCCTTGGGGGGTATGGCTTTGCCATGTCACCTATGTATGCAATTCTTTCAGTGGTATTTAACATCAAAAGCCTTATTGTGAAATTACAAGTTGATTCATGGACTTACAGTTGTTTTTATGCTTCTATGTAGGCTTTGGCTGGTGATCCAAGAAGAAGAATTCAAATTGATCTCTTGAATTTCTACAAAATTCTCAAGTGTGGATGTTGCAGCAATAGTGGTGGTACACTATCACCATCTATGCATGATACCTCAATAATGTAAGACTGCTCTGAGCACCTCTACTCATTGTTTACAATGATGCCCCATTAGAGCTTTTACATGCCAGGTGGCATGTTGCCTAAGTTTGGTCACATGATCATATACCAAATACAATGCAGACTAGTTTATACTTTTTTTCCTTCATTGACGTGCTATCATTCTAATGTTATACTCATCCTGATTTACTAGGCTACTTAGATGGACATTTCGTGTCCCTTTTCCAATAATATTGTATGCTTTCCTGCCAATGAAAGAAGTGCTGTGAGTATTCTGGGTCTGTAGTCTCTTGCAGGGGAAAACATTACCTGTTCTATTCTTTTTCTCTGCATGCATCAGATAGACTTTGTTTCTGAATATGCATAAATGACTTCAGTTAGGAAAATTTCTCACTGATGTGAGGTTTACATGACTTCTTTTTTGGTGTGCACCATTTGGGATTCAAGTCATACCCAGCGCACCACTCCTGTTATGCCAGTGGGCTTTTTTTTTTACATAAAAAGGTTTCTACAAGTACAGTGGAGCTTAAATCATCTTTCATAATTTACCACATCCAAAATAAAGGTGTATAATATACCAAAAATGTGCCTTGAATATTTGGTTTTAACATGCCATCTCGTTTGGTTAAATTGGAATGAAAAAAAAAACTAACTAAATATAGAAGGCGGCGTCTTTTTATGGACAAACTTAAAAATAAAGTAAGAGAAATTGAAATGGAGGGAGTAGTATATTCTTGGGGAGAGTCAAGTTCATATAAGGTTAAGTACTCTGATGGCTGAAGTCAACTTGATATTATATATTGGCACCATTTGTAACTTCGGATTGCATATTTTTTTGAGTGATGAAGCTGCTATGCTATATTTTTCTCATTAGAACTAGTTTTTATATTCAAATGATTTTTATTTTTTGCATTCACATGGCTTAATAGGAGAGCTGAAGTTGTTTTGAATTCTCTCACACAGGTATACACTGGCTCAAGAGCATGGCGATCTCATTAATCTTCATGACTGGTTTCAATCTTTTAAAGCATCTATTTCAAGCTCAGGAAAGAAAGGGTTGAAGAAGTTGGCTTCACCGAAGAAAAGAAAGGAGAACACCTCTTCTCAAAACAATTCTGATGCATTGTTGCAGTATCCTTTTATCTCTTCAGCATTTTCTTGGCTGTTAAAACAGGTGCCATATTGATGTGGTTGGTATATAGTCCTCTTGCTCTCTACCAACAATTTCATTGGATGCTTATCATGATTCTTATATGGTTTTACATCATGTTAGTATCCCTGGTTTATGTTTTGTTGTAGTTCTGTATAAATTCCATGAAGCCTCTCATTCTCATTTGCTGGCAACAAGTGTTAATATACCATTTAGGTTCATTCAGGAATTGTTTGTTTCAGATTTTGTTTCATAATTGTATGTTATTGTGGGCTATTCTGGATCCTTGACTTAATGTTGCATAGAGCAAGATTTTGCAGAGCTGTGATGGAGCTGCAGATTACAGGGTTGCTTCGTATGCCAAGCAAACGGCGCCCTGATTGTGTGCAGAGAGTGGCTTTTGGAGTGTAATCATATTATATTAAAACTGGAAAGTTCATTGGATTATGTTTTTGCCCCTCTATAATTAAAATGTTGTAAAACATATAATTATATTATCATTTGAAATACATGAATCTGTAATGATTTTTTGACTTCATTCAATTAATTTCTAATTTGATATTTTATTACATAGAAGGGTGAGTAAACAAAAAGTCATGAAGTTAAAAAGTTGAATTATGTACTCATAAAAACTGGATCAACTTTATACTCTTATAACCCCAACTTATTTCTTAAACAATAACAAACAAAATGCAAATTAAAAAAGTTTGTTTAGAAATTTTAAGTTTTGTATGTCATTGAACCAATAATATTTTCGTATAACCAAATAAATATATATCTTACGAAGTAATAAATATTGTCCTTAGACATAAATCTTCAAGATAAAAACATATAAGAAAGTAAATGGTACTTTATGGTGCAATAAATAAATAATATTGTACTCAAGTCTTTTTATCTACTTTTATTGGAATTCTTGAAGACCAACTTACCAAAACAAAGACAGAGAAGTACTTTATGGAGTAACACATTATAATATATTTCTCTAAGAAGAAATTTGACGGCTTTAGCTCTTCAGATAAAATTAACAAATAAGGATATAGTTTTTTATACATATTATTCTTTAATCTTTAACATTTAAAACAACAATAATGATACACAAGCACATTTAAAAGATTTCTTCCTAAAAAATAACTATCTCATAGATTTTTCTGAAAAAATAAAATTTAGTGCTAGCTCACATGCTTGCCCGCTTAGAGCTCAATTGAACTAGTATTTTGGAGGACCTTTCAAATGAATAGTTGGGTTGAGCTAGGCCGTTGAAATCTATAGCCCGCTCAATCCGAGCCAGCCCGTGTTAATAGCTCAACTCCTTACACTCACATTTGTTTCAAAGATCAGATGTCTAGGCTTGAATTATTTACATCTTAAGGTAACAAATGAGCAACAAGGATTGTGGTGGAATAGTAAGTACTTCATCCTTAATCAAAGGTCTCGGGTTACCCCTGGTACGAAGTTGCCTTTGGTTAGGGAGTGCGGTGGCATGGCAAATGAGGGCTTGATAAGTATCAATAGCAGCCTTTAAGTTGTTGGAATCAATATCGCCAAATAACTTCATGCTTTACAAATACCGGATGAGTTCAACAGCGAACTTTCCCTTCCTTGTGGAGCTTATTTCTCCAATCTGTAAATGAGAGATCCATTAGTGGCAGAAACAGCAATCTCATTTCATATTAACAATTCTCTAGAGGATGTAAGACAGGCCATTTGAAGCCCCAAAATGAGCTAGCATTGGTTGACTGCATATGCTAGTTTCGCGACAAGTAATTTTCACAACATAAACCCCCACACCTCCAAAATCACTGAACATACTCTTATTCATACTAACAATATCATAACACCAAACTTAGCAGGAAAATGAAGTCATGTCATCAATCACACTAAGCATTTATCTGAAGGAAGTCTTGATAGACTCGATAAAAATGAGAATTCTTCAACCAAACCTAAATATTGCCCCAACTAAAATTCTCTAACAACAAGAAGTTCAATCCCAAACTAGTTGGTGTCTACTATATGATACCTCACCAACCATGTTGCTCTATTTTTGTTTTAATTTTATTTTGAATCAATCAAATATTTGAGGATTTAGGTTCTCGGGCACTAAAAGTTCTCTATATTTTGTATTGGCATACACATCTCTAGCAAGATAAAGGCTCCTTGCAAACTAATCACAACTAGTTAGATCACCTGTATGGATCTTTTTCTTCTATTGTTCTATATATTGCGCTAAGTCTACATGGATTCCAAGAAGATGTAGGTCTATAATTTATTCTATCTAATTTTATGTCTACCTTGTCCCTTTTAACAACTTAAATTACCATGGTTTCACACCTACAAATTGATGTGTTAGAGCATGACTAATCTCGGGTGACTTGTTTTTCATTTTACCCTCCATGTGTGCTACTGCACCTTCAGCCAAATGTGATAATTCCTAATCTTGTACCACCGCACATCCATCTTAACAGACACATTTCTGCAACACTCATCCTATGAATATCCTGAAGAAATTCTCTAAATTACAATCACCTAATTAATCTAAAAACTATAATAACAAAATTGGCATTATAGCAAGGCATCCAAAAATTTAAACCAAAGCTTTACTATTTGACCTTTTTCTCTAGTCACTTTTTATTTGCTAGCTTTGTTTGTAGGTTAAAGAGAACTTTCAAACTTGAAACAGTGTTTTTGGTTGCACTTAGTTGAGTGATAATATTGGCAAATGATACTCCAGTAGTTAAGGAAATGGGAGTTCACATTTTAAGTGAAGTCCTGAAAAAATGGAATTTCAACGTCAGAACTTATAGGAAGAGATAAGTATATGCCCTTTTGGTCGGCCAACCAGAGGCGGATCTAGCCCTGTATCTATGGGTTCACGGGAACCAGTAGCTTTCACCCAAATCTTGTATATGTATGAAGAAATATTCTAAATATCTATTCATATTTGATTGTAGGAACCCATAAGCTTCAAATTCGTCTCTGCAACCAATGAGCCAATGAGAAGAGAATATTTAACTCAATACTGAAAAAGCATTATAAAATTTAAAGCAAAAACTACTTCTATCCATAGGTTATTTGTTGTGTGTGTGTGCATGCGATATGGGAGGGGGGTTCATTCTGATTCATTCACTTTACCAATTATGGAAGAATTTTATGAGAAGTAACTTACTTTAAGTCTTCCTTCTCCGCTAACTGATATCATGTCTCCAGTCTTAATGGTAGTATTGCTTTTTGTCACGGTGCTCCAATTGACACGAACATCTCCATTACTAAAAGGCCAGCAATGTAGAGTGAGACAGTATCAACTTAGGCAACAACGTATTCGGCCAAATACATCTGTATTATCAAAGCAGTAAAAACATATAGAAGCTGTAACGAAATCAACACTTCTTTTTATGATGGTAATGTGTGTGCTAGCTTGCGCGCAGCTCAACTATTCCACCGATTACCTGCTACCTCCCATTAGCACAGGTACTGGTAAAGACTTGCAGGTGGAAAAAAACCACCTAGTATTTTTTGCTTCCTCTAAGATTTAAACCATAGACCTCATGGTACTCCTCCTACTTGTTAGTGATTCATTCAATTTTTGAGACTACAACAGCAAACCTAAGTTGCTCGGACTCTCCAAATATGTTGCCACACCCGTGTCGGATTCTTCAAAAATAAACTATTTTGGAGGATTTGACACGCACCCAAGAGTGGATAATATTTTGATTTGTACCCATGACTATGTTTTTCGATAAGTTACTGGATCTTTTTTTCTTTTCGATTTCTTTTTTAGGAAGTGATTAACAAATAACAACTTCCTTCAAGTTGTTAATTATTCACCTGATCTTCTACCAGTATAATGCATGAACTAATCTATGTCTATGGTTGTGCATCCTTTCCTCACACAGAAAGCTTCTTCTAGAGGCATCGTCCATTTATAATTGCCGTGGAGCGAGCATCTACTTCGAGGAGAAATAAACCCTTCCTAACAGCCAACTCAAGCAGTACACCATAGCAAGAGATTCTTCAGTCCCTTCAAGAAATTAGTTTTGCTTTTATGAAATAAGGGAGAATGCACAGCAATGCAGTGAGATTCCCTTTATGGCAATTGTCATAGTTGTTGAACCTAGTAAAGATTATGGGTTGTGGATCTTTTCAATTACCTCGCTCTTTTGCAGGTGACAATCAAAATGAAACCCAAATTTAAAGCCTATAGGGTATAGAGAAGGCCTAAACAATGTGGGAATCAATGAAATGTTGAGGAAATTTCATAGAAGGGACCCATTTGAATACCATATATATAATTTCAAGGTCATACTGTACTGGAAGGACAGCTTATCTGCAGATCCTTTGTTTTTGGTAAGGATAGCTTATCCACCAATCTATGACAATGATTACGGATAGCATGTGGTTATTGAGGCAAGAACCATTTTTAATTATCCATATACGAATAACTAATGTAAGGATCATTATGTAGTCATTCACCACGCAAAGCACACATCAAGCAAAATATTTTGGACAGAGAAAACATATACAAAGGGGGATTACCTAATCAAACTGGCCATTTTAGTTCGTGAAACTTTGAATCCTGCACTAGCTACAGCATCAAGTCTCAATGATGCCTCAATGGATTTTGAGGACTTTGTACTGGAAAAAGTAAAATAAAAGTGGAAATTTCCTAGATCAAAATGTGTTGCGTATGAAGGGAAGAAACCAAAGGAACTATAAGTGTAACACTTTCAACCTTGGTGGTTCATATTCAAGGGCAAGCAATGGAATCTTCTTGCAAGAGACAGAAACATTTCCAACCTACAAAGAAAATATTAAGTGGAAAGCCTTATCATTCCAATTTTTTTAAAATTACGACTGTTCGCTCCTTTGGGATTTCTGTAAACTATTTTTTACGAAGAAAATCCACGCTCAGTCATTCTCCAATTCAATGTAATATCATGTGATAAGTGGATGATGGCAGTGAGTACAGTATTTGTTGATATTCACAATAACTTAGAATTTCACTCTAATTGGCTAGTAGAAGCTAGTGGAGAATTGGGAAGATACTGTTAGAGGAAGCAATGAGCAAAGTACCGTTACCTTGTCCAATGCTGATACAAGGAAGTCAGAAAGTTCTGGAACAACAAGAACATGAGCTCCCTTTTCACCCTAAACATCAGAAAGAGATGTTCAGGATAACCCAACACTTCGAAGAAATGGGAAGTGGAATATGTTACAACAGTTACACAAATACGCACATAAGACCAACACCATGAAATTACTCAGAACGTGTGAAAGAAATTAAGAATAAAATATAGTTTAAAAGAAAAAAATAATTCAAAAACCTTAAATAATCTGAAGCGTAACTTTGATGTTAGTTTAAAACAGCCATTTAACAATCTCCAAAGAAGCTCAACCATTGTTCTGTTTTAGGAGGCAGTTTGCTTTTAGATAGTAGCTAAGCAAGGATTCTTTGTCATGCTCTGGTTCTTTTTTTTTTTTTTTACGACGGCAGCATTCAGGCCAACTTGTGGGCACCTTGACCATTCCATCAGATACCAGCTACTTCCACCAACACAAGTATCGGCTAACTCTGACCCCCAAGGTTTAGGTAGATGGAAAGAGATCACCTAGTGTTTTTTGCTTCCGCTAGAATTTGAACCTTAGACCTCATGGTTCTCCTCCCACTTTATTTTACACTAGGCTTACACAATTACATGCATTGTCATACTCTTATTTTTTATGTGCCTAAGCTAATTTAGTGGTATGTTCTCGGTGCTGAAGGGATATTTCAATAATCTATCTTGGATGTTGCTTCATTCACCAAGCTTTGTGCTACTTCTACATTTCGTTGTTGGTGTTTGAATCACCACTTCCACACTAAAACAAAGGACTCATTAGATATCAAAGTATTGATCAACAAGTTTAGTTCTTAACCATACACTACCTCCACATATAAGTTCTGACTCATCTTTTATGTTCCATTGTACTTGGCCCTTGTTGATTTGACATTTCTCTTGAGAAACTATTTATTAGGAGTTTGTTTACTAAATTATCCTTATAATTGTACTTTAATAATCTAGGTTTGACAACTATTACTTCATATACTTATCTAATGATAAGGACATAAGGTTAATATGAGAAGAAAATAATAATCTCTCTTGATTTGCTAAAATTGACAAGTAAACAAGAAAATCTATTTTTAGTATAAGGGTCAAGTAAAATGGAACGGAGGGAGTACATAATAACTCAGTTACAAAGAGGTGGATCCTCTCTTAGGTGTAATGCCCACAACTCTCTGCCCAAGAGCCTCTATTTGATCAACAATTTCTCACCCTCTGTCACTTCTATCTTTCTTTTACATATTTTTTTTTGTAGCTGAACAAACGATGAAATCAACTAGATGTTGCCAAAACTTGCAAGAGAGAGATAGAGAAAACCTCCAAAAAAAAAATTAAAAAAAAATACCTGCAAGAGTATATCTCCCAGCTTATTCCTTGCAATCCCTGTACCAAGGATTGCACCAAGGAAATCACCGTGAGAACAAGGTTGAAATGAAAAGTTCCCTGAAATACTGGAAAGAGGATCCCTTTTCACAATAATAAAGAGGATTTTTTGATTGGTTGATTTAAACAGCAGACATAACTAAACAATGACAGGAGGACCTACCTCAAGGCTGCAACATTATCTGGATCACTTGTTAATGCCTCTGCGTGTCCAACTGAGAGTCGACATCGTTCGGCCTGTTTAAGGAGACAGTAAATATAAATTCAAGCAGCTTTATTGCTCAAACAAGTTTTGTAAAACAAACTGTGTCCAACCTCTGGGTATCCTCCTTGTGCAACTGTTTTGAGATCAGCTAACCTTTCTAAGACTAGCATTGACTCTTTTAAGACAGGCGGAGTCAGAAAATCAGTATGTAAAACTTCTCGTCTTAATGATGCCCGTTTTGCCTGAGAAGAACACAAGTGAAAATCAGTTTAGATTAAGACTTAGGACAATGTTTTGGAGCTTTTTCTACAACAGGGACCAAAGAGGTGAAAAACTAGACAAGACTTTTCAACTGTTAATTGAGAGGAGAGTGATTGGTCTGGTAGATGTATAAGTACCAGTTCAACAATACGTTTCACATCTTCAATGGTGTTCTTATCTCCCACTCCTTTCAGTAAAATATCAGCATCACCCTTAATAGCCTGTGGTAGGCTGCATATTCCAAAAGCTGTTTTGAAAGAGGCCATAAATATACCATTTAGCTTGGCCTTTATGCCAATGTTAGCTGACTTTGAGTGTGCACAAATAAGCACTTAAACTTATATAAAGCTGAATAAGTAGACACACACGTTCTACGTGACATAATATGCCAATGTTAGCTGACTTTGAGTGTGCACAAATAAGCACTTAAACTTACATAAAGCTGAATAAGTAGACACAAACGTTCTACGAGACAAAATACATATAGGATGTCACATAGGATATGTGTGTCTACTTGTTCAACTCTATACAGATTTAAGTGTCTACTTGTGCACACCCAAAATTGGAGATGATACCAAGTTAAATGAAACATTTATGTATTATGCGTACAAATTATAGAACTCAATAACTAAACAAAAGATGACAAAAATCAAAGCTTCAAATTCTGTTTCCGCTTCTGTCCATAGTAGATACACCATTTAACAAGTAGTCAGGTATTCACATTGCACTCAACTATTTCAGCTAAAATTACCATACAAATTGACACAAAATCATCAAAATGTAGACACGCAAGAAATAAGGAAATTTCCATACCTGAGGGGTGTAGAGGTGTTCGGAGGATGAGGTTTGTACCGGAAAAGAAGTCTCCGACGACCCTGGTGGGGCGAGTAGATAGAAATGAGGGAACTACTCTTCGGAGAATCGATTGTGCGGCAAAGCCAGTGGCAGCCATGGCCGGTACACGTAGTGCGCACATTGGTTCGGGATTTTGGGTAGTAAAAAATAAGGCAATACTTTGGATGAATGGAGATAATTCAATATTGAAAAATCACATTATGGAAAAAATAATACATTTATTTAGTTAAAATTTGGAAGAAAAAATGAATTTTTGAATTTGTGTTGAAAATTAGTTTTTGGAAAGGGAACTTTAAAATATTTTAAATTTTCGTGAGTCGAGGCGAAACTTATTAAAATCTGAATTTTTTTTCCGAAACTAAATTTTATGAACAAACAATATTTGATTTTATTTCAAAAAGTAAAAAATCTACTTTCAAAATCTATGAGTCAATGGAAGTGTTGAGCTATCAGGAGCTACGTCGTTGATCTCAAAATCTATGAGCCAACATTCAAGATTATATAGTTTTTGGGTGATCAAAAGTGCTTATAAAACGTATTTTTAAAAAGTTGAATGTTTGACCAAGCTTTTGGAAAAACAATAAATATTTCTAAAGAGTATTCGAGGCTGTTTTTTAAAAGCCAAAATGTAGTTTTTCCTCAAAAGTACTTTTTTTTGAAAAAAATACACTTGAGAAACAATTTTAAAAGCTTGACCAAACGGCAAACACTAAATTATCGTGTATTTCTTAAAGTTATTGGTCAAACACAAACTATTTCTCAACAAGAACACTTTATCAAACCAACACGAAGGCAAACTAGACTTCGAGTAACATAGCTTTCTTTTCTATGCAAACCAACATGAAGGCAAACTAGAACAATAGTCTAGGCATACTTAGCTTCACTCAACATAACAGAGAACATACTTTGTTTCAATGAACAAAATGTAGGCAGATCATAAAGAACTTAGATGTTTACAATTAATGCCAAAGATGAAAATCTTTAAGCAAATGTCAAAACTTGAAACTACTACACCAACCAAAAATCAAACATGCTTAGTTACTCTTGAATGCCTTATCTAACCAGCAACATTATGACTGTGAAAAAAATAGGCATGATTTGAGATTACAAAAAATAGACCTTGATATTGCAACACTCTAAGCAATACCAAGTTTTCCCCCCTCTACTTCTTAACTTTCATATTATCCTAGAGAAGATGTGAGAATGCTAGAAGAAGTAGCGGAACTACAAGCGCAGCAGGAGCAGCCAAAAGCCAATAGTTAAACGCCTGTTTGCGCTTAAGTATAGTTTTAGGAATTTCTGTGCTTTTTGCTCGTGTTGCTCGATGCTTGGCAGCTTTCCCTTTAGGCTCCTTAATCTTAGGTGCAGCTGATGTTTCAATGTTTTCCTCTAACTTCTCTTCTTCAGCAACTATTTCAACTGGTTCCTCAGTAACTGAATCCCCAGCGTTCTTCTTCGCCATCTTCTCAAGTTCCTGAAATGAGTAAAGATGTGTTATAAGTCCACAACTAATGTAAATGTAAATTCTACGACGTAAAAGCAAAAACAAATGGTAGAATGATAAGAATAATTTCCTTGAGTTTCCTCTTTTCAGCTTCTTTCTGAGCTTTTATTGCTGCTTTAGCAGCTGCTTTCTCTTTCAACTTCTTTTTCCTCTCCATTGCCTGTCGATTTTTCACAATCTCCTCCTCTCTCTTCATTTCCTTCAATTTTGCCTCATCAGATTCCTTGTGTTTTGGTTTCACATCCTTGGGTTGCTTTTCTAAACCATGGATCTCCTCTTCAACATCAAAGATGTAGTTAGTTTCCGTAACTTTGCTACTTGCATCTTTCGGCTTCTTGGTGTTCTTCTCTTTAGTATCTGTAACGTTGCTACTTGCATCTTTCGTCTTCTTGGTGTTCTTATCTTTGTTTACTTTCTGAGCAGGCAGTGATTCTTCCTTTGTCGGTTTCACAGTAGCTTTCTCAACAATCTCAGGCTGTGAAACAGTCTGCGCCTGTGGTAACACAAGACGCTTCTCATCAGGGTTCCTCATCCTGCCATCCCTGCTCAACTGCCTTATATCAAGTGATGCCAAAATTCTCCTCTCATAGTCATCCCTAAAGGGCTTGCCACTCCATAGGGAGATGAATTTATCAACCTGAAAACAAACGAAGTTACTGTCTGCAAGAAACATGCAAAACTTCAAATTTAGCAACTAAAGACAGATCTAAGGTCTGTCTAGCCTTTGGTCAAGAGTCTCGCTTTGAATGGCATTCACACATGCCTTCTAGTATTTTTTGGCATGCTGCAGGAGATGTTATTGGGATCTTATTCGACTGCTTAGTTTCAGACTAGTTGATGTTTTAGCAACTAGTGTCAAAATTTTGATATGTTTAAATTCAGCAACTAAGACAGATCAAAGATACCTCAGTAAGTGAGAGTTCTTTAAGGGCATCAACATCCTTCTTGTCTGCTAGCAATTTTGCCTTTTGCAACAGTGCAACATTTTTGTAGAAAGGCGCATTCTGAGAAAAATGAAACGACATTGATTATAAAGACTTTCAGAATGCTTTGATTTACATTTGAATAAACCAACTACCATCTAGAAAATGCCATGTAAAGTTGGCCAGACAAGTCTGAAGGTAAAGTACTTGTTCTGAATAACCAATTTACACAACGATATCACTGGGAAGTTCAAACCTTTGTATCAGTAGGAGATGGATGCTTTTTCAGCTCGTGTTATGGAAATACATAGTATTGAGGTGTTTCATGACCAAATAGATCTATTGACCATTCAACAACGGAATAAATGAGATTTAATCAGATGCATAGCATATATATATCATAATTTCTTATCTAGTAAACTTAAGAATAATGCAATTGACATGGAAAGAACATCATACCGCTTCTTCGCGTTGATTTCTCAATTCCTGAACGCGTACAAAAGCAGCGTCCCTCTTTTTTGTTATTTCCTTCAATTCCTCATCCAATGATTTAATCTGGCTGGTATTGGCATCGAGCTGTTCATCTAGTATCTTCCTCTTGGCCTTAACTGCCTGTTGCTCCTTATGAACCCCGTCAAGTCCACCACTTATAAGCTATAGTACAACAAAGTAGTGAGTGTTGTTAGTTAACAATGACATTCTAGGAAAATGAAGTTAATATCATCATTTGTACATGTATACGACAAGATCTGACCGTTACCTTGACTTGCTTTTGGATCGATTCTTTTTCACCCATTGAATCCTGAATCTGTGCCCTCAGAGCTACATTTTCTTTAATCTCTCCCCTTGTTCCTTCAAGTTGTTTAATTTCTCTTAGAATTTTCTTCTCTTCTGTCAGAGGAATGCTTTCATGCTGAATGCGGTACTGCAGACTCTTGATCTAAATGATTTCCATATAAAAAGTTAAACAATGAACGTTAGGTAGTTCTCAATTACCGAGCTGATGAAGAAACGAAGAAAATGAAGGATATGCACCTCTTCAGAAATGAAAAAAAATCGATCTACTTTCATTTGGTATTTTGGCCTAAATTCCTTGACTCCTCGATAGTAAGTAATCGTAAGAACTTAAAAGAACAAAGAGACTAGAGCTTACAAGATTATCAAGCTCCGCCTCAGATGAACACAGACCAGCACCTCCTTCTCTCCCATCTTTCCTAGGACCACGGAGCTTTCCCAAGGCATCCTGCAGAGGTTTCATTTCCTTTCTCTTCCCTTCGATTACTGTCCAAAACTCCTGATTCTCAGCACTCACAGATTTCCTTTGACCAAACAACTCTGATCGTTCTGCCTGCCAAAACACAAGTTTGGACACATCCAAATAATCTTTTAAAGTCCTTGATAAACAGGTAGCATCAAACTACCACTTAGATATGAAAGTTCTCATCATTAGTGTACCCGAACTTTTAAGTCAAATCAATGGTTCGCACAGATAAAGTATATAAATGATGCTTACAGGAAATGTGCACGCGTTCAACGCAATGCAATTAACCACACCAAAGGAAAATAGTATATCTAGAATGCTTATGTGCCTAATAAGCAAAAGACAAGACAAGAGAACAGGATGATATGATTAGAAACTCTTCAACTCATAAGAAACTGAAAGGAAAAGGCTTCTTGACTTGATTATAGCTCTCTAAGGATACCATAGCCTCTAACATTTTCTTGTTTTAAATTTCTTCTAAACACATTAAACAGAACAACGAACAATGTCAACGTTCAACTGAAAGAAGATTTATAGACAAAACTTACCCTCCTGGCTCGCAATTTTTCAATAAGCTGAAATCTAGCTTTGTTCATTTTTTGTAGCTCTTTTTCTGCCAGATCAAATTTGGGCTTCAGGTTTTGGTCTTCAAATCTCCGATATCTTACAATGTAGAAAGAATGGATCTGCTTAGGTTCAGGCCAGTCCTCAACTGCATCCTTCCGGAGGGCGGTAACAGGAACTTTTTTCCCTTCCTCCTTAATTGGTTCTTTAGTACCATGAGAGCCAAATTTAATAGGCTCATTAACCTTTGCACCATTATTCATCTTCTTATTTTCCTTCGGAAGGTTCTTCTTTTCGCTTACAGTTTCAGCTGGAACACGAGCTGACTGAGATGCCATATCTCTACCAACAATTCACTGAGAAACAAACCAAACTCAGCCTTCAACTCTAAAATCCTGAAGCAAGCGAACACAGAACATATTAGCATAAGATACATACTAATTACTAACTCATTGGATAATAAAACTGTGCCCCGGGGACACAGAGCACTTAATGGAGAAAAGACAATGTGAACAAAAGTTTCTAAGTAACAGAACCTATTCACAACAACAACATACTCATGTGTAATCCCACAAGTGGAGTTTAGTGAGGGTAGTGTGTACGCAGCCTTACCCATACCTTTGAACGTAGAGAGGTTGTTTCCTATAGAGCCTCGGCTCAAGTAAAGCATATCAAAATCAAGTATGGAAAGGAAATACAATAATGAAGATAACAATAATAATGCAGGAGAGTCATAATAACAATACAAACGAGGGAAACTAGAAAATGCTCGCAAACTATACTAACCTTCTACCCTAATCCCCGACCTCCATATCTTCCTATCTAGGGTCATGACTTTGGTAAGTTGCAGATGAGTCATGTCTTGTCTAATATCCTCTCCCGTCAATACTTCTTCGGCCTACCTCTTCCTCTCCTTATACCCCACCATGATAGCCAACCTCTCACGCCTCCTCAATGGGGCATCTGTGTATCTCCTCTTCACATGCTCGAACCATCTTAACCTCGCCTCCCTAATCCTATCTCTCCTAGTATTCTCATACATCCAACTCAACATCCCCATTTCCCCTACCTTCATCTTCTGGACTGCAATTAAGGTCTTGACCGGCCAACATTCTGCCCTATTCACACTAAATTTCATATGTAATATTTGTTAGTTACTACATTCATCTACAACTAACTATGCCAAACTCTAAGGACAATACAACAACTACGGTGGTTCAATATCTAGCAAGTTGGAATCGGCTAGCTGAATCTTCACTTATCATGTCGGTCAATTAGGCTTATCTTAGACCAATATTATAAAAAATTAAAATAAAGATGAAACAAATACTAGGAGTTTTCTATATCTTTTATATGTCTTTGACATGACTAAAAGACATAGGACCTACAGTAAACATACTTATGTCCCTAACACATAATTCCAACTAATTGATATATCACCTATGTATCTTTTTCTTCCATTGTGCCTATTTTCACTAGGTTATATGGAATGTCGTTTATAGATCCTTCGAGTCAACTTTTTTCCATATACATTTATCTTATCCCATTTTAACACCTCTAGTCACCATAAATTTTCACACCTACAGACCGGAGCATCTAAAAGTCGAAAACAGACATGACCAAATCATTTCAAGCGACCTTCTCGTATTATCCTCAATGTGTGTAACTTGCACCTTCTAACCAAGTCAATATCAAAAACTTCACACAACCATATATCATTATGCTACTTAAATAAAAATTGTATAGATCCCATAAAAACCTTAATGTATTTACGAATCACATCGTAAATAACAATAAAGATTATATATATACATGCATTAATGCAAAACTAAAAAGATTGATAATATTGTTGTCATTCAATAATGTTACATTCCAATTTCCAAATAAAATTCAATTGTCAAAAAGGTACGACGATCACCTTATAAGATCAAGATCAACACAGATTGAAAGTAAAAAAAAGGAAATAATCAAACACCAAAAGATTTTTTTTTTAATTTTTTAATTTTTTTTGCTTTTTTTTTTTTGTTAGAAGAAAAAAAAGAGAAAAATGTGATAGGAGTGAAGAAAGGGAGAAATGAAAATGGATTTAAAAATGAAGCAATGTATAAGGGAGAGTGGAAGGGTAAAATGAAGGTAGAGATTTTTAAAGAGAGTGTACCTTTCATTTGGAACTAAATTTTAGAGGGCCATTAGAAAGAGAGATTGTGAGAGAAACAAGTGACACCCCCCACATATCTTCACCCCCTCCCCCACCCACCCTTCACTTTTTTTTTTTTTAATATATCGTGTTAAGATATATGATATCTGAAATTAGATATAATAGGACATTAGTTATTTTATCTTAAAGTCGATCATGTTTATCTCACTTCATATATCAACTTTCAAGACCAACCTACTTTAGGCTCCAAAGTATTGATGTGCGCTCAAAATTTTATTCTTGACTTATTCATAGGAACCCTTATTCTTAATTTCTTTTATACATATAGTATTAGATATATTCAACATAAATGTAAGATCGACCTTGATAATAGAATACATAATTTATAAAGATTTATAAGATAGACTAGGGTACCTATTTGAGCTATTGCAAATTGTAGAATGGATTAGACCTTCTACTTTATCTTTATTACCCTTATCGTTAAACTTAGGGATAAGAGTTTGAAAAATACCTCAACTTTGGTTGGATTTGCTGTTACGATACTAAACTTTCATGAGAACTTATTACCTCCTTAGGCTATTTAATACCGTATTTTTTACCCCATGAACTATTTAATAGTGTATTTTAAAGGTATATATGTGCCCAAGTGGACACATTACTATTTATAATTTTGCATTATTTTTTATGTCCACGTGGGCAAATATATATGTTTAAAATACGGTATTAAATAGTCTAGGGAGGTAATAGGTCCTCATGAAAATTTAGTATCGCAACAGCAAATTCGATCAAAGTTGGATATTTTTCAGACCTTTATCCCTTAAACTTAAAAGAGTGTCAATGACACAACAATCTCACACTCTCACATGTCTCTAGTGAATAGCCAAAGAGATGCTATGATTAGAGGAGGAAATCTAGCTGTAATTTATTGAAAGAAAAATTTCTTGGAAAGATAGTTTTTAAGACTTAACTACATAAATAATATTTTAAATATTACATATATTAAAGTTATTTTTTTATATATAGAAGTTTTAAAAATCAGAAAATAACTATAATCCCTAATTTAATGTTATAACAAATTATAAATCTACCTTAAATTGAGGAATTATATTCTTGTCATCCTTTAATAAAATATCATAAAAAGAATATCAAATTTTTTTCTCTCTCTCTCCCTGTATTTAAAATATTCTAACCAATATTTTATCTCTACTACTATCAATATTAATAGTAGTTATTTTAATATCACTTCTTATTTTCATGTAAAAATAGTATTAATAATAATATTACATATTTCAATTTTCAGTGTAACTGATCTTTAATTTCCTCCGTTTATAAATTGTTTTTGGTTACAAAAGCAAATAGTTTATTGTTATATTTGTTATTTTGATAATATTGCTGTGTTTGTAATAATTTCTTTAAACTGAGCTACTTATATTTTTGAATCTATTTATGTATATATAACATGAGTTGAATTTTTTAAAATATTTTTCTAATCTTATTCTCCACCCAATGACAATTCAAACTCAATTAACTTAAAATCTTAAATGTATTATAATATTTATATCATTATGCTGGGATTAATAATTGTATTTTTGTTATTTTACATACTTTATTTTAGAATAAAGGGATAATTAATCTCAGTATAATTATTAATCCTCAGTAAATTATTCCATCTTTGTAACTAAACAAATAATTAAAAACACTTAAAAAAATTTTGAGATTAACTATTCTTATCCCTCCTATCAACCGATCGGAAAGTAAAATTGCCGTCTTGGGTCCAAACTAGAGGAAAAGTGATTTTGTCTTTTATTTCAAGAAGTATACACACATGTCAGCTCATGGCCAATTACAATTTTCAATTATTTTTACTCTCCTTGATCTAAGTTTTTATGTTTTCGATAATTCTAATGCTAAGTCTGACTTTTTCCTTAAAATAAATTAATTATATAATTTATAGTACTATATACTTGTCTTTCTTTTCGACCTCTCTTGTATAATTTTATTAATATTTTATCTTATCTCCAATTATACATTTTATATTGTCTTCTCTTTTGTAAGTACTTAATAAATATCAAATGATATCTTAAATATACTATAATTAAGAATGAAAAGATCTTTCAAATTTATTTATTTTAAATATGTTGCGAAAATTTGTCATCAAGAATAAATATTCCCTTTTTTAGATTATTATTTTAAGTTGTGTGAATAATATCGTTTTTGGGACTAACAAAATATTAGATTATCATTTTAACATATACAAAAAATTTATATCATGATTTATTATTTTCTCATAAATTCTCAATGTGTTCAAAAGGGATATTTAGAAATATAAAAAGATGACCATTTACTAAGCAACCACGAAAAAATTGTGTAAAAAAACTTTACTAAACTTTATATCTATAGCTTTTGATTGAACAATTCTATTAGAAAAATCAGTGAACTTTTAGTGATTATAAAAAAAAGAAGGGAATATTGTGAGAAAATATTTATGTCACATAAGTTTGTTAGTCGATTTAATCATCTTATATTTGTGTATAAATGCCTTTCATATACTATTATACACTTTTATATAAGGTCAACATATTATGTATAAGGCTTTTCCTCAGATATAATATTATATATTGAACTACGTAGCGATGTAGATAGGATTTCCTATAAAGAACTCATGACAAGGTTCAACAATGGTATCTTTGAACATGGAGAAAACATGTGCAAATCCTCTAGCTATAACCTTTCTTATTTGTCTTTTCCTTCTTGGTACCTCTTTCAACATGACTCTTATTTTCCCTTTCCACACAATCACTTCAATAATCTTCTCAATATTCCCATCTTATATTACTATTACAAATAATCAACATAGTAATTCATACTTTGTTGAATCAAAAATCAATCAATTATCTCAATATCCTCCTATTATTAATAATAATCCTTCGATACCGCGATTCGCTTACTTGATTTCGGGATCAAAGGGTGATCTTGAAAAGTTATGGAGGTGTTTGAGATCAATGTATCATCCATGGAATTACTATGTTGTTCATTTGGACTTGGAGTCAAATGTACAAGAGAGATTGGAACTTGCTTTAAGATTGAAAAAAGATGAAATTTATACACAAGTTGGAAATGTGTATATGATTAGTAAAGCAAATATGGTGACATATAGAGGACCAACTATGGTTGCTAATACACTTCATGCTTGTGCTATTCTACTTGAGAAACATAAAGATTGGGATTGGTTTATCAATTTGAGTGCTTCTGATTATCCTTTGGTTACTCAAGATGGTTAGTACTCTAGTCCTTTAGCACACTTTTTATTTTTGTAAGCGATGTTCACATAAATAGTCAGACAGATTTACTGTTTACTTTTTTAGATGATATACATATATTATACATCTGCCAGTTGTTTTAAATTAAATCAGTTTGATGGATGACTTTTTATTTTTAGTTCCACCCTAGTGAAGGGCGGAGCTATATTTCATGAAATGGAATTCCTTAGTCGAAAAATAATATTGTATAACATAAATTAAAAAATAAATTTAGTCTGTTTACTAGAAGGATGGTCGTCCAATTCGAGGTTTCTTCTGGAAAGTTTCAATCTTGTTGACTATGTTTTTGTATCTATATAAATTGTTAAATTCGGTTGATATGAGGGAATCTTCTATATAACTTAAATAAAAGTGGTTTAAAAGTGTATAGATTGTAAGTCCAAATTTTGGGAATTAAACGTTAAGGACTGTGTACACTCTACTATTCTTCTCAGACTCTACTTGTGGGATCACACACTAATATACGTTATTGTTATTGTTCTCTCTAACAACTTAAACGTTTAAACGGGATATCTCTGATTTTCCTTCTTTATACAGATCTACTCTACACATTTTCTGATTTGAAATCAGACTTGAATTTCATTGAGCACACAAGTGAGCTAGGTTGGAAAGAGTATGTGTCTAACTTAATCCTCTTGTGACTATGAATAATTCACTATTCAAGCTTTACTTTTAATGTCATTTTATATTTTATTATCAATTTGCAGGGCCAAAAGGGCAATGCCAATAATTATAGACCCAGGGTTGTACAAAACCACAAAGTCTGATATATTTTGGGTCACACCAAAAAGACATGTTCCCACAGCCTTTAAACTCTTTACTGGTATTTTGACTTCATAAAATTTACTTGTAGTTACCTTTATAACTGATTTGATTGTGTAAATATTACGCACGACTTCGATGCATAGAAGTTGAACTCTAAAGCATGTTACAAACATGACACAGGTTCAGCTTGGATGATCCTTTCACATGCATTTGTGGAATACTGCATATGGGGATGGGACAATCTCCCTAGGAACCTACTTCTGTACTACTCGAATTTCGTGTCCTCTCCAGAAGGCTACTTTCAGACTCTTGTATGCAATGCACCAGAATTCACTTCAACTGTTATTAACCATGACATGCACTATATCTCCTGGGATGTTCCTCCAAGACAGCATCCACATACACTTACCCTGAATGACACTGCAAATATGATAGCAAGTGGAGCAGCGTTTGCGCGCAAGTTCAAGCAAGATGATCCTGTTTTAGACAAGATTGATATGGAATTACTTAGTAGAAGTAATGGTAGCTTCACACCTGGTGGTTGGTGTGCTGGAAATCCTCCTTGTTCTAAAGTTGGAAATCCAACAAAACTTAGGCCAGGTCCAGGGGGTCAAAGGCTTCGACGTCTTATTGGTAAACTAGTATTGTCAGCTAAATATAGTCAGAACCAGTGTAGTTAGATTTCTGTTGTATTTTCATCCATGCTGATCCACAAAAGCAGGAGGGGACAAGAATGTAACATTAAAAGAGCCAGACAAAAAAAATATCAACAGTGAACTCGGCCATTTGTCGAATAAACAGGCCAGTAGATAAGAATATAACACTATAAGATCACCACCACCAACTGATTTGAACAAAAGTTTAACTTCTATGCACCGGCAGTGTACAAGTTCTCCACACAGTCAGGTAAATATGACCTGCAATGATAGGTCTGTCTATGGTATATATAGTTTGGTAACATAATAAACAGTCTCAGACTAGAAACAGAAAATAATCCAAACATGTCACATTAGCCATTATCTCTCACTGAAGTGATGGAAAACTTTGTATTCATAATTTTGCAGGTTTTTTTCTGTCAAACAAGTTGGCTAGTCATGAACAGCATACATATCTTAGACAGAATGTACTCGAAAGTGAATAATCTGAAATGTTACCTCTGCCTCCTTGCACTCGCGTGTTTAGCAACTGATCAGATCAGTGTGAACTAAATGAGATACAGCATGGATTCTAAGACACTGCTTGTATACTTCTACTTACTGTCATCAGGCAAAGATATAACATTCTGAAATTTTCGTTAGAACTCAAAATTACAGAATATACAAAGAGAATAACACTTGCATCGCTTCTTCCCACACCCCCTAACCAATATCTATTTACAGCACATTCCACCATGAGAAAAATCTCATGCTTCCATTGAGCTGCTTCCGCTATGAACTAACTACAAAAATATTTGTTTCTTGATGGCAACTTCCTTGTTACCATGGCATCGTATCGAGTTTATCTCTTCTACGACAATATCTTGGTGTAACCCCCTCATGTACATTTACCGAACTCTTCTCCTTCACACCTTTCCTCATCTTGAAGTAACTAGTCAACCTTTAGGGAATTTAACCACATCATACCATCTCCAAGAGCTTGATATTTCCCATAGAATTTGCGGCAACTAAGGTAGGGGACTGACCACGCCAACACACAGATGAGATGAACTGTGCACTGTCATCCACTTCATCACCAGAAAGCGGATCTGTGCAGTTAAATTTAAATGACAATGCTGGCATGGGAAAAGCTTTGTGGTAGATGACAACCTGCAGCATAACACAAAGTACCAATTACACATTAATAATGGAAAATTGAGCAGCGATCAGCACTAATAGTCACCAGAAATGGCATCAGATGGTGGAATATATTGTTCGGACTCTTTGAAAATATTGACGGGTGCGTGTAGGATCCTCCAAAAGTAGTGTATTGTTGGAGGATCAGACATGGGTGCGGCAACACTTTTGGAGATTCCGAGCAATATACATATAAAGTTCAAATGCTTATAAGATGGGGACTCCAAAAGAAACCTGCCTCAATTCAAAGATGAACTACACATACTTATTTATTTCTTTTGCGGTGGGGATTGTGGGAGGGGAATGATTACAGAAAAATCACAACCTTTTCGAACCAAATTTTCTTTCTCTGTGTGTACATTATGTGAGGAGAGAACCAGATTAAAAAGAACTACTCAAGATACAGGATAAGAAAGTAGTTTCTTCCTGTTGGCAGACTGTTAAATAGTTAAGGTTTGGAGTTGGAGGTCGATAGTATGGACCGAAGCTTTTCGCACATAAGGTATCTAGAGCATTATCTAAGTACTAGATATTCTGCTCTGGGATGTACCAGTCTATCACTTCATCTCTTTGTATAGTTATATATACTTCAAAAAAGAATGAGCGCTTCATTCTTCAAAGGATCAATAGAGGCTCAACAAATACATGAATCAGATTATAAATATATTTTTTTGATCAAGTAAAGGTATTTTCATTCATAAACATGGCCAAACTGGCCGTATACATGGGGTATACCAAATTAAAAGGTGAAGATTCTACAAAATATGATTCTCTACAAACTCCGCCCAATCATCTATATAACAAAGAACTTTCTATTTACACCAAAAGAAAATAAGGGAGCGGAGACTACTCCTCAACTGAGGGAGACTCGACTCTACTCCTTCAAAAGCTCTCCTATTACTCTCTCTCCAACCTACCCACATTAATGCAAGTGGAACCACGTTCCAAACCCTTCGTCTTCTCCTCCTTCTCCTGCTCTTCCAACTGAACATCAAATCTTTAACAGTTCTTGGAATTGCCAAGGGAGTGTGAAACCACTTAAAACATATCAAATCATATATATATATATACTTCCTCCCTCCCATTTTATGTGGCACCGTTTGACTTGGCACGGTATTTAAGAAAAAAAGGAAGACTTTTGAAACTTGTGATCTAAACAATCCTTAGATATTTGTGTGGTTGTAATATTTATGTGAATTTAGAGCCATAAAAAGTAACTGAAATCCTTTGGTTTCCTCTTGAAGCCAAGGAGAACATCGTCTGCAGACTGTCTATGAACCTCCTTGTGCAAAAGATCAACTTAAGGTACCAACTGACAGTCTGAGGCAAATAAATGATAGCCATCACAAGGATACATGTAAGGATTAATTGTTTGATTAGGGCTAGTGAGCCTATTGATGTGCACATCTCAATGCCGTTTATGCACAATATAATCTAAAGACAGATCTATACATGTCTAAATAACGACGTGTAACATATTGCACAAGTGGCAACTGGCACAAGGTGAACATGCTCAAGACCCAACGTGTCGTCTAGAACATGCAGACTACACCTAGTGTTGATGGTGCCAAATTCCATTCCATAGAAGTGAGTTTTGACCAGTTTGTACTTTTTTCATATTGTATTTCAGTATGACTGGTCATATTGTATACCTTCTGGTAAAAAAATTCATTTCATGATAGTCATTTTGAATTTTTAGCATAAAATACTTGCTTTCTGTACCTTTATTGTAAACAGCTATCTGGAACTTTAAACAAAAATTGCAGCCGCATGTATCTTGATGCTCAAGGAACCAGTTCTAGTCAACTATTCCCTTTAATATGATGTAAACATTTTCGGTGCAATTATTGCTCATAACTCATTTAAAATGCACTCAAGTACGCAAGTACAGATTCAACTTTGTGGTAATAAATGATACCTCATTTGTCTCTGAGCCCGTTGCTATGTAACCATCAGATACAGATAGGCCAACAAAGTTCTGAAACAAAGAAATTCTTTCATCAGTCGCAAAGCACATTCAAGCACAACTACATTATCACGGGAAAGGGAAGATACAAAGCACAAATCAGGAGTAAGTTGTACGCAAAAACTAGAGACATGATTTGGTTACTTTTGGTCATGTCTCAAAAAGAAGAAACTGGTGACAGTGGCTGAGAATTACTTTGTAGATGCATAAGCTTCTATGTACTTATATAAGTTACGTGTCAATAATCCATCATTTGAATAACTACAATATAGAGAGAGTGAAATATGACATAAGAATGCTTGAAGACATGTCTAATAGGCTAGACTGGAACTTGATTGTCTACCTATCCTAGATAAGCTTGAGCATATATATTAAATTTATGCAACATGTACACATATTTAATCCCTTCCTTTCTCTGTCCACCTCTTCTTCATCTATTCACTCTGGTTTAGTCCCTGTTGCTGCTCCCACCCTACTTTTTTTTTGTAAGCCTCTCTCCTCTCCATTTCTTTAACCCGCAATAAAAGCTATTCAAATTCATTTGCACTCAATCTTGATTTCACAAATCAGGTGAATAGAATTCACAAAACATAGAAGATATAGCATTTTTTGGATATCAGGGGTGTCATACACCTAATTTTTCATTTTTTCCTAAGAAAGAAAAATTAGAGAAAATTGAACTCCCGGAGGACGGAACTCAGATAGGATTTTAGAATAATGGATTTAATTAACTGTATGGGCAACTTAGATCTCTCTTAACTATATCACTGAGAATGTTACAAGACAACACACTGTTCGATGAGATCACAGAAGCAAAATCTTTATTCAGGTGATAGGATCAAAGTATGATACCTTTACATTCATATGTCCAGTAAATGACTGAAGAGGAGAATCGAGAATACGAGACGTGCATGTTGACAGATCCCACAGCTTTATTGTATTATCCGTAGACGCAGACACAAGAGTTGTTGAATCTATGAACTTGACATAGCTCACTGTCTTGTTGTGCCCAATTAATGTGCATAGAGGCAACTTTGAGTTTCGTAGGTCATAGTAATATATCTTATGATCTGCTGAACCAAAAGCAAGGGCCCGTCCTGAATCAACAGGGAACTGAACACAGCAGACATTGGCTTTTGTTTTTATGGTTCCAACACTGACTCCCTGTGGCAAACAGGTAAGACAAACCAACTTATTACACATCCACATTCAATTAACACAGCAACAATAACTAGATGACTGTAGTACATTTAGTTTTAAAGCTGACATCCACCAAGTGCAAAAGTAGAATTGCCTGATTGATATTCCAAAGCTTCACAGAACCATCATCGCTCCCGCTTGCCAACATGGTTGGATCTGCTAAAGAAAAATCAACAGACCAGACGCGTTTCTCATGCTCTCTCATCTCCATGAAAAGCTGACTTCTTGTGACATCCCATACCTGTATTATGTTTCTAAGCAAACGTCTTTCTGCTACTGCTAAATAAACAAGATTGAATGATCATGCATTTGACGTACCTGCACCACACCTTCAAAGTTACTTGAGGCAAGCTGGCTTTTGATATAGCCATTCCAGCATATACTGCTTAACTTTGATCTATTAGCCATTTCAACGACTGGATAGTGTATATCACGATCCGCATTTAGAATTGAGTTATATTCAAAAACTTTGATCTTCTTATTTACACCAGCAGTTGCAAAAAATTCACCATCACGATCAAAGCTGAGAGAACATACAAGATTGGAAGGGTTTAGAAGATCCCCTTGCTTTAAATCTGCCTTCACTTCTAACTTGCTAAAAGAAAAGTACTTGCATAGACCCTCCAAGTACGAATTGATCCATCCCCTCTGTCTATCACCATTGCACCCTCCCTTTGATGACATATTACTA